TGGAAGAAAGTTCCAGTTATGGTGGATTTTACCCTACCATTGTTTGTTAGTAAGGGCAACATGGTGAAGCAGAAAGGAGTCTGAGTTGGAGGCAGAGAAACTTGAGTGTAACTGTCATCTTTTCTGCTCACTTGCTGGGTGGCCTTGGATAAGTCACTTCACTTCTTTAAGTCTTCAGTTTTTTCACTGGTTAAATAAAGATGAGAATACCTATGTACACACTTGTTAGAAGGATTGAGTGAGATAATTACATAAAATACCAGATAGAGTGATACATAGTTGGTGCACAACAAAGCAAAGCTTCTATCAATTAATCCGACAAATATTTACTGAACATGTAATACATTGCAAGCACAGTGCTAGGTATTAAGCATCATGGATCAAGCAAGAAAAACAATGTTTTCCTTCTCTTGGACCTTCTAGCAGTGGGCTGGTGGGGAGAAAATAGAAAAGGAAACAAAATAATTTCATGGTGCTAAGTGCTTTGAAAACACAAAATGATTTCTATGCTTGTATTTATTAGTAGTATAAAAACCCTCCTGTTTAACACCGCTTTATCTATTTGTTGGGATTCAATCTCAAAGACAGTTCAGCAATTACATTAATTTGAGTTTGGAAAGACATTGAACTATTGGCTCTTAAAGTGACATGATGATGAAAGAGACAAGAAAGAAAGAGACTTTGGTGGGAGGAAAATCCTGATGCTATCCTATGGGATATCCAGGTGTCAATTTGTTAATCATTGCCTGGTGGGCTTCAGAATCATGTGGGGAGAGTTTAAAAGACATAGACTACCGGTTCCCATCCTGAAATATTCAAATTCTAGAGGTCCGGGGTATTGTTTTGTTTTGTTTTGAAGTTCTGTGCTAATGCTTATGGGCAGTCAGACATGGGCTGCTTATCAGCCAGCCTATAAATTCCATTAGCCACTGAGGTAGAGAATACAGGGCTGTGCCTGTTATTCTGCTAACCACTATGTTTATTTTTCTGGTTTCTAGGATATTGGCCCTGGCTGTCCCTCAAGGAGTTTACAGTATAGGAAGAGATATAAATGAAGGTCCTGTGGGTATATAAAGCAGGAATTGATTTAGTCTCTGGGAGTCAGGGAAAACTTTCTGGAAGGGAAAAATTCTGGATGAGTTAGAATTTAATTCCATTGCATTAATAAGACACACAAAATAGAGTGGATTAAAATAAATAGAAATTAATTTCTCTCATATAAAAGTATTGAAAGTAATCCCATGCTAGTATTAGACTCCTCTCCTGTTTTTCTACAGTCCTCAACGTGAGACCTATGTAGTCCAATATGGTTGCTCAGATTCCAGCCATCACATCTATATTCCTGACCAAGGAAGGACAAAGGGGCAAAGAAGGGCATAACTTCTTTCTTTAAGGGTACTTTTCCAGAAGTTCCCCTTAAGTCTTAAGTCTCCCTTTCTAGGCCCTCTTTGGCAAGAAGGGACACACCATGCAGCACTTTTCTCTCCATAACTCTGTTTATTATCTTTCATATTGTGACCCAGATTCCACCTAGAACAAACTACCTGCCCTAGCCATTCAGTGCTCAGATCTAAAAGATCTCTAAAATGATATCAAAACCCATCATGTCACTGGAATAATGGCTGCTCAGAGATACCCTCTTCTTTCTGGTTGGTAAGAGAACTCACTCTAAAATCTCGTCATTGAACTAGGACAAATTACTGAAACCAATTTGGAAAAAACTACAATTTTAACCCTTTCATATGATTAATTATGGCACATCTGCCTGAAGCAATATTGTGCAAACATGAAAAGTGATCAATTACGAAGCTGTAGCGTATGAAAAAACAGCTCATATAAAATGTTAAGGAAATGCACAGCTATGTATATACAAAATTGGGCATATGTTATGATTGTAATTATGTGAAAAAGGTGTGTATATATGGACAACTATTAGAAGATCATAAAATAAAAATAATTACTGGATGGATTAAAGGCTTTTTCTTCTCTGAAGAAATACTATATTGTTATACTGTTTTTATAGCAAATAAAATTTGAAATGTCTTGCAAACTTTACTTGTTGACAAAAGCAGGAAGGAGTGCTTAAGAATCACCTGGGCAGTTTATTAAAAATGCAATTTCCAGACTCTAGTCACAGAGATTGTGATTCTATTAATTTAAGTCTGAAGAATGCTTCAGTTTTAACAAGCACCCCAGGCCATTCTGTTGGAAGTGGTGCACCGACCATATTTTAAAAACACTGCCAATAGCTAGTGTCTCAGAAACACCTAAAACGTATAGAGTTGGGACATTATCTGTGCCAAAAGCTGTCCAGCTTTCAGTTGGGCTAAAAATTATGGCCAGTATTCCTCTACTGTTGTTCAGGAAATGGTAGGAAACTTTAAAACAACGACTCTATAGTAAAACAAAAATGCTTTCTCTATATAAAGTGAAATACCTCTAAAGGGCACAGCTTTGATTATTTTTCTTTTAGTCTCCCATCTAAAGTTGAGGCTGTCTGATAAAAGCATCTCAGGTATTAAGCATCTCAGGTATTAAGAGCTGCGTATCTCCAATTCTCTTACAGTCCCCACACATCCTGTAACTTCTCTATGCCTTTCTAATAGGCCCAACCCAAGCTCAGCTATAATCTGCCTTTGTGAGTAAAGCGTCATCATTTCAAACACTACCTGGATAGTACAGTCAACAAGAAGCCAGCCCTCAGGATGATTCTATACTCGATTTATTCATTGAGGTGACCAGCCTGCCTTGGTTTGCCTAGGAATTTTTCAGTGTTGGCACTGCAAGTTCTGGGATTCCCTGCCCCTAAGACTGGGCAAAGTGGGACAGTTGGTCACCCTACACCTTTCCATTGCCTATGACCTATGTGACTGCATACAGCTTAAAGACATTCTCTAGGATGGGACTGTCAGCCTCACAGATAATGTCCCAGGGAGCATAGGCAAAAAATTAAGATGCTGTCAGTTATTTTTAGAAATAAAAGATTTCCCTGAAGTGGTTTCAGAGAAGGAGCCAGAGATCTTAGGATGTAGCAAACCCCTACATTCTCACTTTTCCTATAAGCCTTCATCCCATGGTAAAAAGTTCACTAGAGATTTGTGTATGTTAAACTCATCAGGAAGGGGACAGGTAAGATTGGGTTAAGCAGAATGCCAAATGTAGAGATAAAGGGTAAATCTGTCTGGAAGATGTGGAATTTGTCAAGTAGAATTAGAAAGTAGCTCTTTCTACTTCTGTTTTCAGAAAAATAGTTTTGTTCTGAAGCCTTTGGAATTTCTCTAAAATCCTAAGCAGTAAGATGATTCAGAAAGCTAAAAAAAGGAAGTGCTTCAGCAGTCTGTTCCAAAATGTAGGAGAGAAATTTTTCAGAATTACCTTGCCCACATCAAAATTATACTTTAAAATATTTCAAGTAGTGTAAAGAATCCCCAGATTTTTATTTCAAAATCAGTACCAAGCTACAACTTCCAAAAGTAGTTTATACTCTTGGCTGATGAATAATCCTACTGACAGCTGGTTTATACTATGAAAAATAGATTTCTATGGGAATTCAGCAGTTTTGCCCACTTAACTTCTCGGGTGCAATATCAACTTTCATTAAAAAATCCAGTGTAGCAAATAACAGCAACTTACAAAAACTGTAAATTTCAGGTCTTCAATCCTTTAGGACCATCAGATACTTCATGCAGAAAAAAAACAATTTAGCCACTGCCTTCTCTCAGTAAAGGATTTAAGGTGATTAATTCAGAAAGCCATATGTGAAGTCAACAATTGAAAACTGAAGCCACCACCTGTAACTGTATTAGCATTTTACAAAGTAGATTCTGTGAGATGTTATTACTAAACATTGTCTCAAGTTCAATAAGTTTGGGGGGGACAGAGATAAAAGGAGTTCATGTTTCTCCACTTCCAGGCTTTTGAGAACCTTTAACAGTGATGGTGGGCACTCACATGCTCCCAGCTGGGGGCATGGCATGTTTCCGAAACTTATTTGACCAAATGTTGTCAGAATATATAAAGGCTTGGGTTCTAACTAATACACTTAGAGAAACACTGCTTTTGTCTTCCTAAATTTGATAACTCAGCTACTTGAAAGTTGAAACTAAATCTATTTGCACTGAAAACAGTTTTATTTGCAAGTAACCAATGTAGCTTTGTCCAAAGCAGGTAACAATTGACATGCTAAACATATTGACATTTCAACACACTGTTAAATGAGCCTATTCTCATTATATTATCATCTCCAATTTATAATAAGAACAAACAAGGCAATGAGACATATTAGAAAGTGTGGTGGCTTCAAGCTTAGAGAATTTCATTTGATGACTTGGAGAGGAAAATGAATTAGTGCCATTTGGGCAGGGCTATGTTTAGTCAGTAAATCTTTAATCAGAACTAACAGTGGTTTGAAAAGCTATAAATGAGCAGATGTGGACATTTGTGACTAAGCATGCTTATCTGCACTTGGTACTTTGCCACGTAAGAGCTACCCATATTTCCCAGTCCAAATTATACTGTGGATCTGGAAACAACCTAACCTCCTGACTTCTGATTCCAGCACTGAGGAAGAGAAAGAAGATGAAAAGAGTTTCCCAGCCTCAAAAGTCATAAGAAGAAGACTGGTGCAGGGCTAGTCTCAAGACACGTAGTTAGGAAACACTAAGCTATGCTCTATATCATCCCACTGCGTTACACAGGGATTCCCCAACCAATTTGTCTATAAGAATAAGTTGTATGATCAAAACCTAGTTTAGTAACTAAGATGTTATTAAAACAAGATGGGGTAAAGTGAGTCAAACTGTCACGTGTATTTTTCCTTCATGGTGTGGAAATCAAATGTGAAGACAACTGAATGTCATTTTAGTTGCCGTGTGAAGTTACATGCCTGCTCTCCACCAAGAAATTCAAATTTTTCTCTTTAACCACATTGAAATGACATTACACAGAGTAATGAAGTACATAAATAATTAAAATAAAGTTTTTATTGGTAAAAGGAAATATTAAGTACAATTGAGTATTGTGTGGATGAAATGTATTACATTAACAACCTTAGCTTAATGGACAAACAGATTTAATACAATAAGCTGGAAGTTCAGAACAGGTTTCCATACACAGTTTTCATGCATTTTTAAGTAATAATATTTCAATTTACATATATTATACAGATCATTGAGGGACAAGTATATTGGTTTGTGACCATTGCCAATCATCAGTTTATTTTGTGCCTCTTTTACCAAGATTGCAATTCTGGTGGTTCTGATCCTGTTCTAATAGGTTCTCCCCATCCATTATCTGGTCACTTACTAAGAGGTCACACTGTAAATAGGATTTTTTGCTCATTGTGACTTAAAGAAATTCCACGTGCTCTTACATGAACTCCATACTTTAAAAGACAGCAGCCTGTACCAAATCTAGAAGAGTTCTTCCATTTTGGAGAGTGCTTAAGCCACATGTACACATATGTAAAAAGTGTGGAAATGATATCAGAATATATGCACTAACATTTTTGTTGATACAGTTTTAAGTCTCATTTAAGTCTTTTGTTGTAAGTTTTAAGTCTCAATGGTATCTCATCTGTGCAATTCTACATACCATTAAGTAAAAATAAATATCTGCATGTGGTAAGGACACCATCCTCATTTAAGTAGTACTCATTTTGCTTATTTCTATTCCCCAAACAGGAAATATCCAACAAGAACAATTTTATCTCTGTTTATTTAATTATGACAAATGTAGAACAATGCAAACCAAATGGAAAAAGATGATGAAAATATTTAGGAACAGAAATGACTAATTTAGCTGAAGGAGATATCCAGGTGCCATTAAAATGCATCTGCAACTTATAATCGATTTTTAGTGAAAATTTAGTAACTGAATCCCAATTCACTACTGAAACTTATCAAAGTGTTTTCAAACTGTTACATAAAAACTGACAATATCCATAAGTATTACATAAACATCAAACAAAAATCATATAAGAAAAAAAATAAATGTATTAAGATGAAATAAAAACCACTCTTGTCCTGACAGATATGAACTCCCTTTCCCTTCACATGTAGTTGTAGGGATTTGTTATTTTCCACATAATGATAATATATGTTCGTGCACATTTCAGCCATAAAAATAAACTACTTCATTTATCTTAAATATTCCTACAATGAAACATCAGGACTCCAGTTTCACTAATCAAAATTTTATGAAGGTGTAAATCGCATTTGGTTTTGACACCTCAAATCATGGCTGAAAATTTAACAAAGCATTCGAGGCTTTTTTTTCTCACACCAACTGACCCAGATATATTTTAAGAAATGTTTATTTTCTGTGCATATTTGTTTTAAAATTATAGATTCCTGAGCACTTTTTCTTCTTCCTCCTCATCAGTGTCAGTGACATTGACTTGCTGGATGCGAGAGGGAGTTGATGTGGGGACTGTGAAGACGTTCTCAAAAGCTCCAACATCCAGCTGAGGCATGAGATTAAAGTATTCTTCCCCACCATGGCTGTGACTGTGACAGTAAGAGGTCCCATGCACGCTCTCACAACTCCGAGAATCTCTCCTGTGTGGGCGATCACCCGAGTAGTCTGTAAGACCATACTCTCTCTCTAAAGTTGAAAACGCAACCTCATGTTTTTGGCGCCTGTCTTCATAATAACCAAGGCATTCTGGCATTGAACTTGGAAAATTTCCATAGCCAAAGGGAGGCCGACTAAAAGGGCACATGCTGTGGCAGAAAGACAAAAAAGGAATTAGATCACACCTTCCCACATGTTGCCTTGCATACAGACTAATTGAGCTAGTTTAATTGCATCCTTTCTGGGGACTGGAAAGTTCCCAAGATAACTTGCTGCAAGTATGTTTTCATTTGCTCTTTTACTACTGCTTAGTCCCAGCATAAATGGCCAAGTAAGCTTGCAACTAGAATACTCACCAGCTTGACTATCTATTATCTGCCTTGGGCTTCGTACCTTTTGACAGCCTTAATTTAAAAAAATTGCTTATCTGGGCCTTTCTTTTATGATGTCTTACATCATATGAGATTTGGAAAGACATGTTGTGCTGTGCAGTACAAAATTGTTCTTACTAGCATTTGAAAGAAAGCTTATGAAGGGAAAATGTATAATTGGGTTGAAATCTAGTGCTCCTCCTTTTTAATTAACACTCAATAATATATTAAATTAGAAACACTCTTACTATTAGAAAGATTTAGAACTGATATTAAACCGTGGCTTTACAGAGAATAAACTGCTGGTTGCCATAAGTGAGGTTGCCATAGGGGGTGGGGAAAGAAGTGAAAGGGATAAAGAGGTACAAACATGCAATTATAAAATAAGTAAGTCACAGGGGTGAAGTAAGTCACATGTATTCCAACTACATAGGGAATGTAGTTGTTGATACTGTAATAACTTTGTATGGTGATAGATAGTAATTACACTTATCTTGGTGAGCATTTCATAATGCATATAATTGTTGAGTCACTATGTTGTATACCTGAAACTAATATAATATGCATATCAGCTATACTTCATTTTTTTAAAAAAAATTTATAAAAACTGTGGTTTTATAAAGAGCTCCTCCAAAAAAATTTTGGAGAGCAGAAATGTGAACAAGTGAAAAGGTTATTTTGCTGTTTTACAAACTAATTTTTCTTGAAGCAAATCTAAAAATTCTGCCATTCAAACCCATTTGTCTTTTTTTTTTCTTTTAAGTATCATTCTCACTTTCAAAGAACAGAACAGGAATCACAGGAAAAGGTATATAGAAAAGTCCAATCAAAAGTTTCCTGGTCTCACAGACTCCACCTAGTGACATAAACCCAATAACCACGCTCGGGCAAAACCCATGGCAAGCTGAGTCTTCACATTCACGCTCTCACACTTAGAAAATAAAAGGTTAACTTTGTTTCCTTCCCTTTAAAACATACGCATGGAAGGCATACTAGACTAGAATCTCAAAGTCTTTGAAAATACAAGGTATGTCCAGTGGTTTGCTGTCCCATCTCCACATTTCCAAGTGCCTGAGGCCCTGCCCATGTTAAATTTCAGAAATATGAAGCAAAGTTTCTAAAATGTTTCAGGTTTCCATTCCTACTGCCACATCCTCATTCAGGAATTTTTAACTTAATACATATATCCTGAATGCATTCTCCTTCCAGCTAGTATGA